TTTCTTCTGATGCGCTTCTTCAGAAGGAAACTTTGAACAGTACCGAGAAGCACCAACACAGCTGACCCTGTACTTCTTTGCAAATCACAATGTGAATTATGGCAGGTGGCTTCCAATTCATCCCAGGAAGATGATGTCCCTGGAGCAACAGCAGGGAGTTTAACAGAGAAAACTTTGTTGTACAGAAGACTAAAAGAGAGTTTTCTGCCTTGGTCACTGACCAAGCCCATGATCAAATATGCAGTCATCAAAAGTGATGGAGGAGCAATTGGACTGACTGAGGACCCAGGGGCACTTTGTAGAAGGATGGCGGCTGGCCCAGAAGTAAGTCGCCTGGTTGCTGCCTATGAAACCATGTCCAAACATCATGAGCAGACTTTAAGCAGCCAAATGTGTTTCTTTGAAAGGTGGGAACACTTCAAACAGTACTGAAGGAGATGTCTAATCCTTTCCAAGAAATGTAAGCAGATATACCAGTACTAGACACAAAGAACATTCCAGATCCAGTCCTTGATGAGTTGGTTCACACATATCACGCCAGAAGAAAACAACAGTTTCAGTCATTCATGGAAGGCTTCAAGAAAGAGGGAGAATGTTCATTCTACCATATAATTAAGAAGAACGAGGTTTCTTTTTTCGAACACGAGCAGGCTGCTAGCAGTTCCGAGGAGAAGGTGCCAAAAGATAACTGCCAGCTATTCTCAATACTGTTCATCTCCTGCCAAGTCAGACAGTGTGACTTACAAGAATTGTTCAAGCATGAGAACCAGTTAGCTCCTGCCCCTCTCAATGACAGTGGCAAACTTCATATGTGCCAGAAGTCACAGCTCGTTGCCATACTTCAATCACAATTGACCCTACCAGACACAGAGCCAGATGGAGATACTATCATCATGGATGGCTCAGCCCGTGTCAACGCTACATCTCGAGGAGCTCAAAAATGTTTGGTGAATATGCCAGTGAAGACATTGTTCCCATGCTGAAATCGTATGGCGCCAAATACAAGCGAATGAACATAGTAATTGCTGTATACAAAACATCAAGTCTGAAGTCAGAAACCAGCTCGAAAATAGGGAAAGGTATCAGGAGAAGAGTGACAGAAACAACCAAGAACCCAACAAACTGGAGAAGCTTTCTGTAGGATGATAGCATCAAGACAGAGCTGTTTCATTATCTTGCAGAGAAAATGTGTGAGGCTGGAACAGAAAGCACTGTTATCGTGACAAGAAAAGTTGATGCCATCAGCAACAGAAGGGAGTCCCTGGATGGTGTTGCCCCATGCTCTCATGAGGAAGCTGATACTAGAATGTATGTGCATGCCAGAAACACAACCCTATAAGACAGCAAGTCCCCCATCATAAAAGCCAATGTGGTCGTAACAGCAGTGTCGTCACTGTCATTACTACAGGAGCTTGGTTTTGAAAGCATGTGGATTTTGGACAAAGCATCAACGCTAGGTGGATTCCAGTCCATGATATTGTCTCTGTAATAGGACCCAAGAAATCCAGTGGGAATCTATACTTTCATGCTTTCACTGGGTGTGAGTTGTCTCTGCTTTCCACTGGTGAAGGAAAAAAAAACAGCATGGCTGACATGAGATGTCTGCAGGGAAGTGTCTGACACCTTCACGAAACTGCCTGGAAGGAGTGTCTGATGGTGACCCCCAGAAGCTAGAGAAATTTGTTGTTCTCATGTATTACAGATTCAGTGCTGCAGCTAGTGTAAACAAGGCAAGGTTACGCCACTTTGCTCGTAAATAGGGGTCAAATGATGCAATCCCGCGAACCACAGCTGCCCTCATGGAACATGCAAAGCGTACTGCCTACCAGTGTGGATTCATCTGAGGTCAGGCAACTATCCCAAACCCCAAAATCAACAACCTGATGACTGGGGATGGACATGGACAGGGG